AGGAATTTATCCCTTCCTTAAATGCTTTATTTGGATTATTCTCTTTACTGTAATAGCACATGTTCACAGCAGAGGAAATAATAGACAGAGAATAAAAATAGAATCTCCTCTAATCACCCCACTCAGAAGGAACTTTGTGTGTGTGTGTGTTTACTACGCTATTTTACAGTTATTATAATAATAAAAATTTTATCTTTAAGCATGTATTATAGGGCTGCGATGAACATTTTCATGGCCAAATCTTTTGTGTGTAGCCAGGAATATTTTTATTTTTGTTTTTATTTTCATTAGTTTTTCTTTTCTTTTCCCTTTTTTAAAAAAATATTAAAATTTACTAAAATCTTTTTTTTTTTTTGAGACATATTCTTGCTCTGTCACCAGGCGCCAGGCTGGAGTGCAGTGGCACAATCTCAGCTCACTGCAACCTCCACCTCCCAAGTTCAAGCAATTCTCCTGCCTCAGCCTCCCGAGTAGCTGGGACTACAGGTGCACACCACCACACCCAGCTACTTTTTGTATTTTAGTAGAAATGGGGTTTCACCATGTTAGCCAGGATGGTCTTGATCTCTTGACTTCATAATCTGCCTGCCTCAGCCTCCCAAAGTCCTGGGATTACAGGTGTGAGCCACCATGCCTGGCCCTATTAAAATTTTTTTTAATGAAACATTTCACAAATTTGCATGCCATCCTTGCACAAGGAGCATGCTAGTCTTCTCTGTATCCTTCCAATTTTATTATATGTGTTAACGGTGAAGGGTGCACAGACTCTTGGTGTCTTGAACAAAGAATTGAACAAAATGCACAAAGAAAGGAAGGAATGAAGGATTTCATTGAAAATGAAAGTACACTCCACAGTTTGGGAGTGCGCCTGAGCATAGGAGTTAAAGGCCCCATTACAGAATTTTTGGGAGTTTAAATACCCACTAGAGGATTCCACTGGTTATTTGGGGTACACCCTATGTAAATGGAGAAGACAAAATTAGGTTACAAAATCATCTACTTGGCCTACGCCCTATGGAGAGGATATTTCCTGTCATAGCTGAAGTGTGAATCGAACTTACGTTCCCTGCCTCCAGACCCTATTTTCCTGCCTCATCTCCCCACTGAGAGATGTGATTCCCATAAACTTTATGCAGGCAGAAGGACAAACGGTCTTTTTTCTTTAATTTCAGCATGTCATTTACAGGTTACAGTGTACTCATGGTTGCACATTTCTTTCAGCTCTTGTCATTCAAATTGAAAAGAGACCATGTGACATTCTAGAGATGGCTGCATGCAAGCATTTAAAACCTCTGAGAGAATATAAATATAGAGCACCAGGGAGATTATTACTATGACTACTGTGAGAATAATACCAAGAGTTTGGAGTATGCTTCTTATACAAGTTACCCACAAACAAAAACTCCTAAAATTAAATAGATCAAAGAATGAGCTAGGTAAAGAGTTCACACACTTGACTAAGCAATTTCTTTTTTTTTTTTTTTCTGAGACGGAGTTTCGCTCTTGTTACCCAGGCTGGAGTGCAATGGCGCGATCTCGGCTCACCGCAACCTCCGCCTCCTGGGTTCAGGCAATTCTCCTGCCTCAGCCTCCTGAATAGCTGGGATTACAGGCACGCACCACCATGCTCAGCTGATTTTTTGTATTTTTAGTAGAGACGGGGTTTCACCATGTTGACCAGAATTGTCTCGATCTCTTGACCTCGTGATCCACCCGCCTCGGCCTCCCAAAGTGCTGGGATTACAGGCTTGAGCCACCGCGCCCGGCCGACTAAGCAATTTCTTCATCAATCTCCTACCAATGAATTTCTATAATCTTCATTTGATGTATTTCCCCATAGGCCACAAGTGCCAGCAGCTGCACAGGCACTTTCCTGTTTAGCCAATTCTATTATTTGGCATAACTTTCACAAGAGGATTTAAAGTCTGTTGCGTAACTATAGCCTTTACAGTAGAATTTGCTATAGAACCTATCATGAGAGAAACATTTCTAATCATAGTTTCTTTTATTTTAAACCATGGAAAAAGGACCTAACAAATGATGCCCTTTTAGAATAGTGAAGGCCTTCTGGCAATGTTCTCTTTAACCCATGATGTGGGTTAAGAGGAGTGAACCAATGTTTTGCTTTTGACTGATTATGAGACAACACATGTACCATTAAAGTTTTTTACCTGCATTGGGCCTTTGTCTTTTATCTATCAAAGTATACAGTTATCCATGTATAAGACTGGCTGCAAACTTCTTCACAAATAAAAGTATACTCCATAAGTGCACATGACAGACTCCTTTTCCACTTCTATGTTTGTAGAGGCATAAGCAAGAAAAGGTAAGAGTTTCGTGATAGTAGAAGTCTTAATCTGTGAACTTGGAAAAAGCAGTTCACATCAAGGATGCCACCGTCTTCTTGGGAGAAATTTCCCTGGTTAGCTTTACCTCCAGGTTTCCAATAGGTGCACAATTCCAAGAGCATGGAGGGACCCTTCTCAGTTGTGAGACCATGAACCCAAAGTTCTAATTCCCAAAGTTTTGTTGTAGTGTGGACGGCAAAGACAGTCTTTTTCCAATGTTCTCAGAAGATCCAAACCACAAAAAGCTTTTTTGCCTGGTGAAAATACACTGTAGCATAATGATCTACTTTATAGGCCAGGTGTGGTGGCTCACACCTATAATCCCAGCACTTTGGGAGGCCGAAGTGGGCAGACCACGAGGTCAGGAGATCGAGACCATCTTGGCTAGCATGGGGAAACTCTGTCTCTACTAAAAACACAAAAAATTAGCTGGGTGTGGCGGCACAGGCCTATACTCCCAGCTACTCGGGAGGCTGAGGCACAAGAATTGCTTGAACCCAGGAGATAGAGGTTGGAGTGAACCAAGATCATGCCACTACACTCCAGCCTGGGTGACCGAGCAAGACTCCATCTCAAAATAACAATAATAATAATGATCTACTTTATAACATCAGCCCTCTTGCATGGGAATGCTTTTATACAACCAGAAAACATGCATTAAAAGTAACGATTGAATGAAATCCCCTTAAAAAATGTTTAAATGGCCCACCAGGTTACCAAATGTACCTGAAACTTTGTTTTCCCAGGAATATGGGATCAAGTGTTGGTTATAAACTATTTTAGTAATTTATAAGTCACTGTACCAATGTATTAAATTTGGATCATTATATCCTGGTTCTCCACCAGTTCATGCTTAATTAACATTGGACTTATATCCTCTTGGATACCAGTTGTTTCTCCAAATTAGGTACATAACACTGACAAGAAAATTTGGTTATTTTTGTGGTTTACTATAACTTAGTATAACTAATTATAATTGATAGCATACACTTAGACATTAGAATATTAGAACTATCATAAAATTTAGGAATATATATTAGTATTATTCACAAAAATATAACCTAAAGAAGATTAAACATCATTTTGGCAATCCCACGTACCTAAACATGTCAAATAATCCTTTTTACCTCTTTTCTGGGTATTTTCAGGGCCCTCAGATTCATCCAGAAAGCCAGGAATTAGGAAAGACAATTTTGAAACTGAAGTTTAATTTTGGAAATCCAGATTAACATAAATTATTTATTTTGCCAAAATAATGACTCAGAAATTGTAAAGATGCAAAAATCTTTTATAACCTTTTACCAAAAAGGCAAGCATTCTACTGTTCTTACACACCTTGCATGTAAAACTGTTTCCAGTAGTTTTAATTGCATGTTATAATGGCAAATTTCAACGTAAGACCTCATAATTTATGTTCTGATAAGATTTGACTATATCCAGCATAGCTAGGGGTATGGCCAGCTCCACATGCCCTCAGAACCTCTGCCAAGAGCATCCTCTTTGAAGAGTCTGAGGTCCAGAGGGTCCTCTAGAGTGTCCTCCTCAGGGTTCCAATCTTAGAGTTCCAGACATCTCTGGCCTTAGGTGGGCACTGATGCCACTTTGCATGCATTCCCTCCAGAGCCTGCTGTGAGGTTTCCTTTGGTACCAGGCTGTAATCTCTGACTTTTATCATCCTTATAATTTGATAAGGCCATGTTTTCCCATGTTTCTCGTTTCATGAACTTTAATGATAGGAACTAGGGGCTGGGTGGGTTTCCTTTGCCCTTAGACAGTTGAGTATAAGGGAAGAATTTAGCAGAAGAAAAGAAGATTTAAGTCCCCTGAAACATGTATGAGTTTGCTCCAAACAATACTGGGGAATGACCCCAGTCAATTGTCCTCAAATTCCAAGGAGCTACTAGGAAATAGCTGTAGAAAGACCAAAAAAGAAATAGAGGAAAAAACATAAAAAAGGTCCAGATTCCTTAAGTGAACCAGGCCATGGCAGTTAGGCGTGGCCAGATGGAAACCCCTTAGTTTCAATGACCACGGCCAGAAACCTGCCGTTGCAGAAGGGAAAGGAGGATTCCCTCGCTACAGTGAATACACAGCTAGTGTTTTTACTAAAATAACTCACAATAATCAATGAACCAAATGATGCCATGTTGGGAGGAGCCACAAAAGTCCTTAAGTTCAATGCTCATTTGATGAGGCTATCCTCTCAACATTGTTTACAAGGATTATTTAACCTTTTGTTACTTTTACTGATAGCAATCTTTCTCTCTCCTGTTCCCTGCTGGATATTCCACTTGTTGGACTACTTTAACAATTAGAAAATTCATTGTATTTTGAGCTGAAAACAATCTCCTTTCAGTCTCCATTCATGAGTGCTAGGTCTAGGCCATAAAGACATTGCCCCTCCTTTCTGTGATATGACAGCGCTTCCCATGTTTCATCCATTCCCCATTCCCTCCCTACTCAGGTCTTTCTCAAGCTCAGAGTTCCTTTAATTGTTCTTCTATCACCAGCGGGGACACATATACTGACCATGTTCCATGCTGTGTCTCCAAGAGACAACATTGGGCACATTCAGGATGGTGTGGCTATGGACTGGGCTGCATCTCTTTCAACAAAGCCAGGAATCAGCTGAGACACCAGCATGGCTACACCATGGCAGCAAGGAGCATGATTCAGAGCAAGGCATACTCTAAACCTGCCCTAATAATGCTCATAACCAAGCCCCGGCAAGATCTACAGAGGAGACAGAGTTTAGAAGTTCAGTTCTGCCAAGTGAGAGGGGCTTGGGAAATGCCATGGGTTTTCCACAGATCTTCCTTAACAAAGCATAAGGATGACAACAACGAATGAGAAATTAACCTGAAGGACTTAATGGCAGACTGGAGTGGCAGAAGAGTCAGTGACTTTGAAAACAGATCAATAAAATGTATCTTAAGAATAGAAAGGTTAAAAAAAAAAAAGGTTGACAAAAAAATAAAACAACCTGCAGAATTCATAGCACAATATAAAATCATGTAACATATATGTACTTGGAGTCCCAGAAAAAAGAGAGTGAGAATAAAGCAGGAAAAGTATTTGAAATAATAATAGTCAAAAAATGTTCCAAATGACATTAGATAGTAAGCTGCTCCTAGAACAAAAGATACTCTCTAGATCACATATTTGGGAAATCTAAGCTCTTAGATTTTTCAAAATGTTAGAAAGTGAAGAAAGGTGGGTAGAGTAGGGGTACCAACAGTTGTTGATTTTAAGGGGATTCTATACGCAAAACCAAAGTAAGAGCACTTAGGTCGACTGAGGTACCACAGCCTTCGTCCACCTGAATTGGATGAATGACCCAGCAGCCACTGAGTACCTACTCTGAGCTGCATGTTTGATGTGCATTAACTCACTGAATCACTAGGGAACCCTGTCACATAGGTATTATTTGAGACTAAGAGCTGTTCAGTAACTTGCCCAAAGTTGCACATCTGATAAGGGTTGGAGATGAGATTCAACCTCAGGGCTAATTTCAAAATCTATTCTCCTAACAGCTCTGCTTTCTTGCCTTCATCTAGGTTGCTCATTCATGAATATCTCCTCCCCTTTTCAAGGAAGTACTGGATTTCCCCCCTATACAAATGTGGGGAGTGACATGACTCACAGCCTAGAACTCATAGGCTGTGAGGGAGTGACATGACTCACAGCCCAAAACTCATAGGACCAGTCACTTCTTTAGTCTGTAATATTTTGCTGCCCCTGGATTTAGCTGGAGGCCAGTGAAGCTTCCTCAGATCCCCCTTTCATTTTGCCTGGACATCTCACGGTGCATGGAGCCACATGGGACTTCCAAAGCCTGCTGGAACTAAGAAGCCCATGTTTGTGAAATATGGTCCTTTAGAGTCTGCATGTCCAAAGGTTCTTAGATCTTGAACTAATTAAAAAATTTAGAGTTCAAAAAAAGAATCTAAATCAAAATAACCAGCTGGATATACTTCTGAGTCCCAGACATTGGAAGTGTGCTGACTTCTGCCCAAGACAATCACATCATGTCAAGCCAGAAAACCCTATTACAAAGATACCTGCATTTGAAAAAACACACACATACTGCACCACACGCAGACATATAGGTGCCCAAATGTGGTGGATAAGCTCAGAGTTTCTTTAATTGTTCTTCTATCACCAGTGAGGACACATCTACTGACCATGTTCCACAGTGTGTCTCCAAGAGACAAAATTGGGCACATTCAGGTTGGTGTGGCTATGGACTGGGCTAAGCAGATGTCCAAGAGTGAGTGAACAGTTCAGATCAATTCAGAAATAATTTGCTGAACATCTGCTATATTTCAGGCTCTCTTCTATTGGTTTATCCTGCCAGGCAACAGTGCTAGCTATCAAGAATCTGTGGCAGATACGTAAGAGGCAACAGTGTAGTAAGTAAAATGAGTGACACATACAGTTTCTAAGACAGTGGAGAAGGGAATCATTCATTCATTCATTCCTTCATTCTATCAACACTTCCTGAACAAATACTATGTGCTGCAATGGGCTAAAACCCAGACAAATAAAAAGTTTCTGGCAGAGGAGACAAGAGAGATATTTGAGGCATAGGAAACTATAGACATGTATAGATGCCTGAAAGATCATGACATGTTTGAAGATCTCTGAAAATTTTCAAATTGTGGAGAATAAAATTGGAGGGGGAAAGCAGCAGCTGCAGCTGAGGTATGCAATTACTTCTATGTATTGAGAGCAATCATTCATAATATGCAGAGGGTGCAATACTTTGCACTATGTGCAGGAAACAGCACAAGTAGACTTTGTGGCAGTCCAAACCCAGACATTATGTTTTATATATTAGGTACTTGACAAAAGGCCTTTTTTTTTTTTTTTTTTTGAAACGATCTCACTAATACTTTCAGGCTGGAGTGCAGTGGTGCCATCATATCTCATTGCAGTCTCAAATGTCGAAGCTCAAGTGATACTCCCTCCTCTGCCTCCTGAGTAGCTGAGACTATGGACATATGCCATCGTGCCCAGTGGCGCTTGATAAACTTCTCAAACTTCAGGTAGAGTTTATATGCTTAAACCCTCGGAGTGCCCAGCCTCTCTGGCCCCACACAGATATCTTCAGCAACACTCTGAAGAGGGTAAGAAGTCAAAGGAGTAAGGAAGTCGCCTTTCTCCCAGGCTGGATGATCCAGAGTTGGTGGTGGCTCTTCCCCAACCAGTAGTCCACTGTGGGACGGGATAGATGCTCATCCTATACAACGGGGCTACCTCTCCTTATCCCAACTTTCTACCTCCTTGGATTCCACTGGGAGAGGGTTTAGATCATTGTCTTTCTGAAGGATTCATGTACGACCAAAGCAGTAAAAAGCCGGAGGCAGAAACAGGAATTGTCTCTTTTTTAAAAAGTTAATGCCCTTCCTTCTGTCTCAGAAGGGAAGTAAGTTCTCCACATTTGGGGCCTTTTATCTCCACACAGGCTTGCTTCTGGCCTATTTCTCTGTCTCCTTATCTTCCTGTTTTCTCCTCCTCTGTTTGGATGTCGTTCTTCTCTGTCTCCCCTCTCCCTTTCTAGCTCTCCCCACTGACCCTGCAAGGATAGAAAGCCTTAGACCCAGTCACTTCTCTAGTCCGTAATATTCTGCTGCCTCTGGCTTTAGCTGGAAGCCAGTGAGGCTCCCTCTGATCTGTCTTTCATAGACACATTCATCTGTGGTGGAAGGGACAGTGGGGGGCAGGGGATACTTCACCTCCAGAAGAGCCTGCCTCTAGATTTCCTTCAGAAATTCCTTATAGACAATCAAATGTGTCTGTGAGAAAAGCAATTTCTTCCAAAGATTGCTTTGTCTAGTCTATATAGGGGGTATGTTCTCTTACTGGTATAACTTTAACTCTACTTCTTTTGAATTAATAACAGTAGACTTTTTTCTTTTCCTCTTCTATTAAGGTTTTTCCCAATAACTGAAAATCGCTCTGCCTGTGTCACCTAACACCAAGTTCAAGTAGCTTCTTCCTCATTTCTAGGTTTCTTCCATTCTAAGAGGGTGTGTGTGTGTGTGTGTGTGTGTGTCTTTCTGTGTGTGTGTGTGTGTGTGTGTGTCTGTGTGTGTGCTGGGCTGGGGTAGGTTGAGATGTTCGGTTTATTCCACCAGATATGTAAAGATTTAGTTAAAATTTGGGGGGAAAATCACATTTAAATAATCTCAAGAGTAGGAAATTCGGATAGAGATCTGTACTGTTAATAGGGTTTTGATAAAGCACTTAGTACAATAAAACACACATCCAGGACCTGGTACTGTTAATATTCTTATAAATGTACATTTTTGGGGGAAATGTAAATTAGTTCAACCATTGTGGAAGACAGCATGGCGATTCCTCAAAGACCTAGAACCAGAAATACCATTTGACCTAGCAATCTCATTACAGGTTTTATGCCCAAAGGAATATAAATCATTCTATTATAAAGATATATGCAGAGCCGGGTGCGGGGGCTCAAGCCTGTAATCCCAGCACTTTGGGAGGCTGAGGGGGGTGGATCACGAGGTCAAGAGATCGAGACCATCCTGGTCAACATGGTGAAACCCTGTCTCTACTAAAAATACAAAACATTAGCTGGGCATGGTGGCGCATGCCTGTAATCCCAGCTACTCAGGAGGCTGAGGCAGGAGAATTGCCTGAACCCAGGAGGCAGAGGTTGCGGTGAGCCGAGATCGCGCCATTGCACTCCAGCCTGGGTAACAAGAGCGAAACTCCGTCTCAAAAAAAAAAAAAAAAAAAAAAAGATATATGCATGCATATGCATTGCAGTACTATTTTCAATAAATAGCAAAAACATGGAATCAATGCAAATGCCCACGAATGATAGACTGGATAAAGAAAATGTGTTACATACACCCCATGGAATACTATGCAGCCACAAAAAGGAATAAGACCATGTCCTTTGCAGGGACATGGATGGACTTGAAAGCAATTATCCTCAGCAAACTAACACAGGAACAGAAAAACAAACACCACAAGTACTCACTCATAAGTGGAAGCTGAACAATGAGAGCACATGGACACAGGGAGGGGAACAACACACACTGGGGCTTGTCATGGGTCGGGGGATCAAGAACATCAGGATAAATAGCTAATGCATGCTGGGCTTAATACCTAGGTGATGGGTTGATAGGTGCACCAAACCACCATGGCACATGTTTACCCGTGTAACAAACCCGCGCATCCTGCACGTTTCCCGGAACTTAAAATTAAATTAAATTTTTAAAAACCATACATATTTCCCAGGGGATCTTAGGATGGTCTAGGTAGAACCTGCCTCCTCCCCACCTCACTGGTATCTGTAACCCCTTCTGGGGAAGGGAGTTGAAGTCAATTATCTTTCAGTATGGCACCAAACCTTAGATTTTTAACGGAGACACAGTTTCAGCTTTTTCTCTTATCTGGTCCAGAACTTTAATGTTTTCTTCTTTCTCCCAAATTACTTGGTAAATGTAGCATCCTTTGAAGTACTAAAACTAAGGGAGAAGGGACACCCTGTTCATGACATTCTTATCTTTCTAAATGAATGAATGATTTGCTTCTGCTATCACCCAAGGGAGCACCTCAAAGTAGCCCCATTGTCTGAGTCAATCCTACAAGTGCTTATAATGATAAGTAGAAATACACAAGAGGACATTATGCATAGATGCCCTTTGCCAGAATGAAGTAACTGGAAAGAAATCCAAAACTATGCCTTTAGGTCACTATTCTTCCTGATTCACTGCATATTTGATCTTAACTTGTTT